TCCAGACCTGTTAGAATCTTATATACCTGGATCATGTCCCCCCTTAGTCTCCTTTGTGCAGGGCTAAGCAGATTCAGCTCAGCTAACCTCTCCTCATAAGACATTCCTCTAAGACCAGGAATCATTCTTGTAGCCCTATGTTGACCCCTTTCCAAGGCAGCAATGTCTTTCTTAAGGTATGGTCACCAAACCTGCACACAATATTCTAGGTGGGGTCTTACCAAGGAATTATATAATCATAGCATTACCTCCCTTGACTTAAACTCCACACACCTAGAGATATAACCCAACATCCTATTGGCCTTTTTTGTTGTTTCCCCACTGGCGAGGGTGGGACATGGAAGCATCAACATGCACACCTGGGTCTTTCTCAATCAGCTATCTTTATTTCAGTGGAACCCATAAAATATCTGTACTTTATATTTCTGCTCCCTGCATGGGTTACCTTACATTTATCTATGTAAAATTTCATCTGCCAGGTATCAGCCCAGTCGCTAATTAAATCAAGGTGAAGACTTTTGGAGGTTGGACTGGTGTCAGGCAGGGCAGCAAAGAAACCACTTCTCTTCAAGAAAAACATCAGGGACAGACTGATATTCTGCAAAAGGTATAGAGATTGGACTGCTGATGAATCCCCTTTCCGACTGTTTGGACCATCCTGAAAAAAGATTGTCCAGAAAAGAAAAGGTCAGCACTACCATCAGTCCTGTGTCATGCCAACAGTAAAGCACCCTGAGACCATTCATGTGTGGGGTTGCTTCTCAGCCAAGGCATTGTGCTCACTCACAATTTTGCCTAAGAGCACAGTCATGAATAAAGAATGGTACCAAAACATTCTCAGAGAGCAACTTCTCCCAACCATCCAAGAACAATTTAGTGACAATGCCTTTTCCAGTATGATGGAGCACTGTGCCATAAGGCAAAAGTGATAACTAAGTGACTCGGGGAACAAAACATTGACATTTTGGGTCCATGGCCAGGAAACTCCCCTAACCTTAACATTGAGAACTTGTGATCAATCCTCAAGAGGCGGGTAGACAAACAAAAACCCACAAATTCTGACAAACTCCAAGCATGGATTATGCAAGAATGGGTTGCCATCATTCAGGATTTGGCCTAAAGTTGATTGACGGCATTCTAGGGTGAATTGCAGAGGTCTTCAAAAAGAAGGGCTAACTACAAATATTGACTCTTTGCATAAATGTAATGTAATTGTAAATAAAAGCCTTTGACACTTATGAAATGCTTGTAATTGTACTTCAATATACCATAGAAATATCTAACAAACACTGAAACAGCAGATTTCATGAAAACCAATAGTTGTGTCATTCTCAAAACTTTTGGCCACGATTGTACACTTGCTGGTAATTTGCTGAGATCTGATTTGCCATCTGTGTTGCTCGTCATCCCCACAGAAGTGTGACCTGCACTGGTTAGAGGAGGGCCCAGCCCAGCGAGTGGTTCTGACTTGGGAGGAAGGGTTCCAATACTATCGGACCATTCAGACATTGAGGAGGATGGAGCTCAAGGCAAACCAGCTGTACAAGCAGATAATCATCAGTGGCTTCTGTCACCTGTATGATGGCCAGGTCAGAGCAGATGTGGGGACATGTGACAGGGGCATACATACAGGCTCATGGTGGGGAGACCTCACCACCGCGTGGCTTTCTGCACCACCAGAAAGGAAGCATGTGCTGTGGGCATCGAGGCAGGCATCAAGCCCACATATCACCTGATCACCGCGTACCAGGCTCACGGCTTCACCTTCACGCAGGGTGTTCCCATGTGGGCAATCCTGGCTGAACTCACAGGTGCATATCACATGGGGATGGGGGTGCCACTGTATGCAGATTAAAGGGTTCATGCTGGTCTCCTCCCCCAGGGAGGAAGTGGGCATGGCCAAAGGCAAGGGTGGCTCCATGCACATATATGCCAAGAACTTCTATGGAGGGAATGGCATTATGGGCACTCAGGTACTACATGACCCTCTAAATGTACTCTGTGTGTTGTTTGCATGTGTGTGTTCTCATAGACCCTTTGTGCTTGTAGGTGCTCCTGGAGGCAGGAGTGGCCCTGGCCTGCCAGTACCAGGGCAGTAACCTGGTGTTTGCCACGCTATACAGAGATGCGGCAGCCAATCAGGTAAAGACACACTGCCGCTGCACCCCAGCTCCTATTCCCCGCTCTCCGGACCCGGCTTCATGTTGGCCCTTCTGCCCCCTTCCCCATGTCAGGGACTGATCTTTGAAGCATACAACATGGCAGCACTGTGGAAGCTGCCTTGCATCTTTATCTGCGAGAACAACAAGTATGGCATGGGCACCTCGGTGGAGCACATGATTGCCAGCACCGACTACTACCGAAGGGGCAACTTCATTCCTGGCATGCGGGGAGGGGGCGCCGTCCAACCGGGTGGCCCTTTGTAGCCCCTTAGACAAACCAATAACGATGGGTGCCACCCCCCTTGGGCAGTATGGATGTACTGTGTGTGAGGGAGGCCACGTTCACTGACAACTTCTGCAGGGCCGGGAAGGTGAGTCTCGTTAGCCTCATTTCCACCAACACGATGCTGGTGCTGGACTTTTTCCCAATCCGGCACTGGTTCCACGCATTTCCATTGCAAAAAAAAATGGCTCCAGCATGGCACCACAGAAAAGCTGGGCTCAGAATGTGGCAGGGAAACAACTCGGCAGTAGTGAAATAAAGTTATAATGTTTTTTTTTTTTCTGTGAAAAACTAAAGCTCGATCTGCTGGCCAGATTTAATAATAAAGTATAAAAACATGTTGCAGGTCGAATAAATAAAATATTATGGCATTTGACTGGCGAAGAAATCATGAGGCAGACAGCAAAGTAAAACAGTAAAACAACAGTAAAACAGCGATCGAGAATAAATGTATTTACACACAGACAGGGAGCCTTCATGGAGACAAATGTGGATACAGACAGTAGAGACAGGGTGCAATGAGTCATACTCTCAGCAAAATAAATCCAAAAAACAAAATACAGACTAACCTTTACTTTCACTCCCACTTTTGTAACATTTCTGTTCCGTTCTTTTACGAAACCGGTGGAAATGCAGGCTAGTTCTCAAAAGGCACCAAGCAAGAACCAGCCCAGCACCAGCTCTGTGTGGAAATGAGGTAGTTGGCTCCTTCACCTGTTAGTCACCCGGCAACCGGAGGGCAGGACTGGAAACCCATTTCTGATTCATTTCTGCTCCAGGGGCCCATTGTGATGGAGCTGCAGACCTACCATTACCATGGCCACAGCACGAGTGACCCCGGGATTAGGTAGAAGCGTGCGTATGAGTGAGTGACCCATGGCTCCGCTCCCAGCCCCACTCTCATGATGTGCTTGGCTCCACCCAGCTACCGGACGCATGGTGAAATCCAGGAGGTGCATATTAAGGGCGACCCCATCACCATGCTGAAGGAGCGCATAGCTCAAAGTGAGGTACATGTCTGTACTGGGCCTGCAGGGGGTGCCGCTGCCACCCAGAGCAGGGCCTCAGTGCATCTGCATGTGTGCGTGCAGGAGATCCAGACCCCCCCTGAGGGACCTATGTAACCACATCTTCTACAACAGCGGTCACTAATAGGCGGACCGTGGTCCGGGTCCGGACCCAGAAGCTGTCCCATACGGACTCGGACCGACAGCTAAAACATTTAGTTATTATTTAAAACCTGACGGGGCGCTTTTATTTTAACCGGCGCAGCGTTTGTAATCTTTTCGGTAGTGGTTTATCAATAGAACCGCCGTTTCCCACGCCAATGAACGTCAAACGCCTTTGACCGCCAAGCAAGACGTATAGTTCGGCGTATGGAGCCCTTTGTCTGCGCTAATGTGCCTTTCGTGTTAATAGCAGCAGCGAAGCTAACACCCGCAAACAAAAAGCGTAATGTTCCTAACAGAGTGGCTGCGCTCTCCTGAAATCGTAAAGCTGAAAAGTTTTCAAATACAATATGTATTATATAACATGTTGGATAAATAGACGTAGTTTATTGTTGATTTCATGTTCGTCGAAGTTTCTGCATTTTAACATATGTATAAAGTAATGTTATCTGTTATATAAATAAACTCATGTGAAACAAAAAATGTACGTTTTCAGGGTTGCCAAATCTCAAGCATCTGGCATGACACTCACGCTTTCAGGCTCATGCTGGAAATCTTACGGCAAATCTATATTATTCCATTATAAAACTTAAAATTAGCTATGTCAAATGTGTATTTACACGGTTAAATACAAAAGCAAACTATTTACTAGGTAAGAACTGTTACATGTGTGCAGACATCTCGAATTGAATATCTCACTCCAGCCAGCTGGCCGAAGTTCTGTGTCACGTGACAATAAATAAATAATGTCAAATAATGTCCCTCAGCTAGTCGACCAATCGGTCTTTGTCAGTCACGTGTCTGCACTGTCTGACACGCCCCCATTCGCCATTTTGAAGGTATTCGCGGACGCAAACACTAGGAAGAATGGATAAGAAAAAGCAGAACGAGAAAATTCCTTACAGAGAAAAACTTACAAATGATGCCAGGGATCGGTATTTGGCTAAATTGTCAAAAATCAACAATATAGATCCGTATGATCTCACATAAAAAATGGACATTGTTGCCTCTAACTTCATCTCTGGATATAACAAACTACCTTGTCTATGGTATCAGCGCTTACACATATGAACAGTTCAAGAACTATCAATCTCTTGAAGCCCACGGACATTTCATCAATGGCTGGGTACAGGATCTGTTCACATTTCGAACGCAGTACTGCGACAACACAATCGTCACTGCAAAGGTACGCTAGTTTGTAATAAAGTTGCAAACAAATCTGTACAGCCTCGAACAAAGGAGACTAAGGGGGGACATGGTCCAGGCATATTAGATTCTAACAGGTCTGGATGCAGCCAAATGGCTACTTCAATTAATTTCTTATGTTCAAGTTAAGTTATTAGTAATTATATGATGAAGTTAACTGTAATCATGTAGACAGCCATACAAATGCTTAATAAATAATAATACATGGAATAATTTAACACCTCCTCTACCTGCCGTCCATATCCTCTTTTCCAAGTGGGAATCCGAAAAAATCTTATGTTGTGGTCCACCTTTCTGCCTTGTGATTTAGTATGACAGCCTTTCACACAACACGAGTATCCCATCTTTCGAAGGATAAAGGCGGACGCAAACGCTTGCTCTTGAGTTATATACCTCCAAAATGGCGATTCGACCCACAATACACTGCGACTATAGCGAGTGTGACGTCAACTGTCATCATACATGGTCCCCTAGTGCGCCCCCCCACTGGGAGATGGTGCCTCAGCAGCTGCTCTCTGTTGTTGCCCACTGGCTAGGCCAGGCATCATGGAATCATTACCTGCAGCTGAGCTCCCCCTGCAGGCCTCCTTAGGTAGTGCTCTTGGGTGTCTTCCCTGCCTCTGCCCTTAGGGCAGGGGTGTCAAACTCCAGTCCTGGAGGGCCGGAGCCCTGTGTAGCTTAATTCTTTCCCTGTTCCACCATAAATGATTCAGCTCAAGAGCTATGTGGTAATTAGCACAAGGAGCTGAATCAGGTGTGTTAAATGAGGGGAAACCCAAAAATGTGCAGGGCTCTGGCCCTCCAGGACTGGAGTCTGACACCCGTGCCTTAGAGTGTCCCTTCACCCTTTTGGGTAGTGTACTGTAACTCAGTGCTTCATGTGACATGGGGGGGCAGGGTGAGCCAACCCGACTCTGGCTACAAGTTGCTAGGTCATTGGTGATGGGGGTCTCTCTCACTCTCCCTCATTTACTGTAACTGGACGGACATTCCAATAGACTGTGCAGTTCTCACGGTGGCTGACAAAATACCTGCCACTCTAAGGATGCAGCAATACAAGGCATCATAATAAATCATCTGTCATCAATCTTCATGTGTTTTTGTTTATTTATTATACTATGCCTAAACGATAGTGGCTTAGGGCTCTTTCCGGTTCTGTTCAAACTACTAAAATGGGTCTTGTTCTCACCATTATGTTCTTTGCAGGGACGTTTCCAAGATGTCCACTAGAAGGAGCACTTCTCCAAGGAATATGCAGTCCAGCCTGAAGCTGAGCTGTTCTGTCTCGAGTTCTGAGCTCCTGCACTGTTTCACGGCCTCACACATTATGGGTTACAGGACGTGAGACCTTATTTGGAAGAGTATAACAACATAAATAAAGGTTTTGTCAAAACATGTTTATCGGCTTTTGTAATAATACAAAGATAAAATATATTAGTCAGACCCTAATTGTTTGTGCCCGTAGACTCCGGGATAGGCTCCAGACCCCTCCTCCCCCCCCGGACCCTGAACAGGATAGTAGCATACAATAGTGGCATAGTTCTGTTAATTTCTTTTTTTTTTGAGTGCACACCCAACAGTGGTAGATAGAGAAAAACAACATGAAAAACAAAAATTATATCTGCGCGAGTCATCGGCAGTTATCTCTTTACGATCGGCCCTGAGCGCATATTTGAGTGACTGGCTGTGAGCTGCCTGGCTTCCTGCTTGCCGTGTGTGGCGTGGGAACCTGTGCGACAGCTGCATGGCACTGGCACTGGGAGCAGAGTGGCCACTGGCCCTCCGCTCCGGCTCAAACTGGAGCCCAACTGTGAAATTTGTCGCTGGCCCGGTGCATGACGTGAGTCGCACAGTAGACGTGTTGGATGTCCCATTGAGTGCATCAGTGATGAGCTGCAAAATCTTGGTCTAGATGTTTACATAAGAACATTTACAGAAATTTACAAACGAGACGAGGCCATTTGGCCCATCAAGCTTGTTTGGGGAGAACTTAACTATTAGCTCAGAGTTGTTAAAATCTTATCTAGCTCTGATTTAAAGGAAAATCTGGACCTGAACTATTCACCTCTTATTAGACTTATTTGGTGTAAAGTCTTTAAAGAATTACAGTATCTCCTTTTATATTTTTTATAATAGTTTTCTGTGCTTTAAGAGTCCATTTCATCGATGGATTATCGATAATGTTTATGTAGCTATGTATGTTATTATCTGCTTAAAATTACCTGTATGGGTACGGGAAGTCTTTTTTCTTCAGTGTTTTTCCATTGAGCCTCATATGATGGGTTATCATAGCTCTAATCTGTGGTGCAATATCATAGTCTCTGAAAGAAGGCAGGTCCCGTCCTGCTTTTTTTTAATTTAAGTGCATAGTTTTGAGATGAGTCCTGGGTCTTTTACCTTGCCATATACTGTATACCTTGATGACATTTTGTCCCTTTCATTGAATTGGTTTTGGGCAGTCCCTGTTGGTAGGGTCTGAAATAGACACAGTAGTTTGGGCAATATAATCATTTTAATGGGTTCAATCTTTGAGCTGAGACTAATAACGGAATTAACATCGATCTTGCTATGTCTTCCTTAATTTTCGCATGTATAGACAGATAATTTCATTCTGATAGTTTTGCCAAATCCTTTGGCACGTTCATGTCCAAATACTTGACTCTGTTTGCCATGCCAAGGAATACCTGCTTATAATTTTTTAAGGTGGGTCATAGTAATATAAATGTAATTTGGTTTACCTATGTTAATCAATGCATCAATTTAGGCAAAGAGTATGCTGATTGTCATAGATAAATCAAACTATTGTCTGTGTCACAGGTCAATTAATGCTCTGTCTCTTTAATGGTAATTCCCTTGACATCTTCATTTTGTCTGAAGTGTTGAGCTAGTTGTTCCAAATATAATGCAAACAGTAGCGGCAACTATGGTCCACCCTGTCGCTTGCCCCTAGATAATAGGGGGTGACAGTAGGGGTTTATGGCTGTAAGTACATCCGAAGAATCCTGTGAATCTCCACACCACCTATGGCAGGGGTGGCGAACCTGATCCATGGAGAGCCGCTGTGGGTGCGGGTCTTTGGGATGATCTCTCAATCAGCCAATAGTAAAGCAGTGGTTCTCAACTCCAGTCCTGGGGACCCACTGTTATTGGATGATTGAGAGGTCATACCAAAAACCCGCACCCATGGCAGCTCTCCGTGGATCGAGTTTGCCACCCCTGACCTATGGCCTGGATGAGTCCCTGCTTTTCCTCTGCAATGATGCAATAGGCAGTTAATAATGAATGAACTTAATAAGGAGGGATACAGATATTTATAGGGAAAAGAGAGAATGAGCTGTGAGTGAAACGGGGCTAATCTGGAGACCTTTCTGGAATGCTGAGCTATCCTTCTGTCACATAAAGTAGGTTTATTTTTGACATGAAGGCATTTCTTATGAACACTGTGCAGCCATCCATCCACCCCCAGGTTGACGGAGAGCTCAACAAAGCCACTGTTCACTGCTGTCTGAAACACTGACCGTACCGAGCAAAGTGACCATGCAGGGAAGGGACTGGTGCCCCCCATCGCCACACTCTGACCGCTGCCCTGTACTGAAACAGGATGTGGAGGCGGGACTCACACAGGATGTGTGGGGAGCTTTATAGGCCAGATGTGTTACAATTCCAGTGTTGGGCATATGTCACCTGGTTCCATGCTGCTTTCGGATAAGGGTGGAGCAAAGGTTGTCACCTGCTGTTTTTGACTTGAATTTTTTCCTCAAAGGTGCTTCTAATAACAGCACACTGCTGTGAATGTCCTCAGAAATACCAGTCAATGTGGGCCAAACTGGTCCAGCTAAAGAATGTGACTGTTCCCCTGATCCTCGACATCATCACAATAGCATGGGGAGTGAGCGAGGTGGCAGTGATGCTCCTGTCTTATTCTGGTATTATTTGAAGATTTAATAGTAGGCCTATTACATGCTTGTATCAATGTGAATTTCCCTCCCTGCAGAAATGAACAGGCCGCCACTTAGCCACAAGTATGATAAGCATTTACACTGTAATCGAGGTGGAGACGCAATGCAAAACAGCAGCTCTTGAAAAGCTTGATGCAGGTGGTGACGGGAACATTTTCACACGCCACTTATTTAATTATGGAGCGCGGAATGTGCCGCCCAGCGCCTGGCCGCGGCTCACCTGTCCTGGCTGGCCGGCTGGTCTATCCGGAGCTCCTCCCGCGCCCGATTACGCAGGGGTGACTCGGAAGCAGCCGCTTTCTGACACACAGGTAAGACGAGCCGCGGCGCCATGTTGAGGGAGACGGAAGTGAGAGAGTGCGGTGGGGAGCCGGCAGCAGGAGAGCGCAGAGGAAAGGAGGCGGTGGCGGAGGAGGAGCAGCCAAGCGGCCGGGGCTCAGCGGCTCTTTCATCGAGATGACCGCTGCGTGTTAGTGTCCGCGAAGTGCTGTCCCTGGCGTAGCGCTCCGCACTTTGTCTGCTGTTCACCCCCCCCCACCTCCCTCCCCGGAGAAGTGCCCGTCCGGAGCCGAACTGAGGAGGAGGAGCGGCGGAGCGGAGAAGATGCCTCTGCCACAGCTGGCCGACCCGTGGCAGAAGATGGCAGTGCGGGACGCGGGGGCGGAGGTAAGCCCGGCTGGGACGGGGTCCGCTTCATGCACATCGAGTTAGAAAAGTGTAGCTTCTGGTGTGCCGGAAGCTCGGAGCCATTTGGCGTCAGGAAAGTTTTGTTTAGGCATAAATGCTGAACTTTGGGGGTTTACAGCCTGGTCCGTCCCGGGACACACGGCCGGCGGCCCTCGGGCTGTGCCCGGACACTAATGTAACTTTCCTGCATTCCTGTAACTCTCGCATTAATGTCACTTTCTCTCATCAATGTAATTTTCCCGCATTAATGTAACTCTCTCGCATTGATGTCACTTACTCCGTGGGAGCCTGACGCTGTGTCGCTTCGGGTCATTTTCGTACCGTCCGGACACAGGGGGGGGCGCTTTCACCGGCCACCCCCCAGTCATTAAACGCCTAAAACAGTGAAACAATGACCGCTTTAAGTCTGCTGGCACATTATCGCAGGAAGAGCGGCGTCTTCACTCGCCCGTAGCGGCTCATTCCGGTTGCGGCGCTGCTCGTCCTGCGCTGTCTTGTGTTTCCGATCAGAACCAGAAACTGTTCAAATCTGATGTGATAAGGCTATCAATTCAAGCAGAATCATTCGTGTTTTCTACTATATTTCCCCATGGACTTAAACGATGGGATGTGATATATACCACAGAATAGGGAAACGCCTAGTTCAGCACGAAAGTTAAAAGTCGTTTATTGAGGACATTAAGCGTCACTTTTCGGGCGGCTTCAGCTCTACCAAGCGGGGACCTTCCCCATCTCTACGCGGCGGGTCCGGCCGGTTCCGCTGGTTCTACCGCCGAGTTCGGAAGGAAACCGTTAGGCAGTTTCTAGGGCAAGACGACGAAGGGAAACTGAAGTTAATTATGAGGATGTCATTTCTCCATGCGAGTTAATGATTTTAAATTGAATTTAAATGGCTTAATTTGTGAGCGGTCCATTTTGAGCCGGCTTGTCCCAGAAATACATCAAACTATATATAACCATTAGATTAAATATTACTAAGAAGGCAAATTTAAATCTGCCTATGGGATATATGAACGGATGTGTTCTGCACAATCCATCTGGAAGGGCTGGCGATACTCGCGGGGGGAGGGGGCACCAAGCAAGGGGTGGGCTGGGGCAGGAAGGACTTTGGACCCCTGTCACACCTCAGGGTAACTGTGCTTATTACCAGAAAGAAACTAGACTGATAACAGCCCAGCTCTTTGTGGGGCAGACAGTCACACTCACTGCAGCGCCTCCTCCTGGTGCTTTTTGGGACAGTAAATGGGACTTACAATCTTAGATTGTGATCTGGCCGCTTTTTGAAATTCTACTTGACATTCTACATGTGACATCTTATAATGGGTGAAGTTATTCTCACTAAGGGTGGACAATCACTCCAAAGCCCCAAATTCATCCACATGTGCAGTGTGTCATCTCCCCCTCCTCCCTCCCCCCTCCCTTCGTTGCCATGGCCCTGATCCAAGCACAGCTGCAAGTGTTTTGACCACTTTAGAGATCTGAGCTGCCCTCGTCCCAACATGGCCGATGCACCTCAGTCTCCCCGGGTGGCGCATTGTACTGACCCAGGCCTATTCTCGTAGGACCCCCCCCACGCCGCAGATGAGTCCGCCGGGGATGAAGATGGCATATGTGAGGTAAGTCATGTCAGCAGAACCCCGCCTGCCTTGTTCTACCCACTTCCCCTTCATGGTTTTCACTCCCCTCGACCTGTGTACTCACAGTCCTTTGCAGCTGTGTGTCTGTGTGAGTGCTGCATTGTGGTTTCTTGAATTTGATGGTAGAGAATTTAGAAGAGGAACCAAAAAGCAACCTTTTCCCTGTTTTAATCTGTGCTCCGCTTTCTGTGTGTGTGTTTGAGCACGCACACATGAAGACCATGCATATGTGAGGAACAGGCACACATGAGGAACACACACTTGTGAGGATCACGCAAATAAAAAAACGGCTGTCTGGTACCAGGCCTCCAGTTAGGGTTAGCAAGCTGCAGTGACAGGGGGGTCCTGCAGAGGGCGCAGTGATGTTGGCAGCATGATAGGTTGATAGGGAGGGGGGGGGGCACAGTCTTGTTGGTGCTGCTGTCTTTTGCATGTTTAGGGGTATTTTGACGTTAATTAGGTCACTTGGCTTTTATCAGTTTCTTGGGTTGGGCGTTTTGCAAAAGCTATCTGGTGCATCTGTGAAATATGGAGGGAAGGGCTAAATGTCAGATTTTTTAAATGGGTGTGAAACGGAATGCTTCGGAGCTCTGCTAGTCCGCCTGTCTGCATGGTCCTTTCTCCTTTGCTATCCTGTCAGTCTCTCCACTATAAGTATCTGGCTCCCTTTGCTCCCCTTTCCCCCCTTAAATGCAGGTTCATACTTTTCTGCACAAGTACTAGCGGACGTGTCCACCTGAATGTTTATGATGCATTTGACGTCATTGTGTGCCTCTGTAATAAGTGTTACATACATGCACATGCACATGCACTTACAAACTTGTCTCGAATTGAAAATCTCACGCCAGCCAGCTGACCAAGGTTGGCAACCCTATGAGTTGGCTCTCTGAATTTATAAAACAAATGGAAACAAACCTCACTGCTGTGGGACTTGTGCAGAAAATATCAGAATAATAATTTATATTACTATTTTGCTCCCTTTGCTATCCTGTCAGTCTCTCCCCCTTTAACTTTCTGTCTCCCTTTGCTATCCTGCCTGTCTCTCCCCCTTTAACTTTCTGGCTCCCTTTGCTATCCTGCCGGTCTCTCCCCCTTTAACTTTCTGGCTCCCTTTGCTATCCTGCCTGTCTCTCCCCCTTTAACTTTCTGTCTCCCTTTGCTATCCTGCCTGTCTCTCCCCCTTTAACT